AAGACACTTCAAAGAAAGAAAACTACAGACCAATATCTCTAATGAACCTAGATGCAAAAATCCTCAATAAAATTCTGGCGAATCGGATACAAAAACATATAAAAAAAATTGTACACCATGATCAAGTAGGATTCATCCCTGGGATGCAAGGCTGGTTCAATATACGGAAATCAATAAATGTTATTCACCACATCAATAGACTTAAAAATAAGAACCATATGATCATCTCGATAGATGCGGAAAAAGCATTTGACAAAGTACAGCATCCCTTTATGTTCAAAACTCTAGAAAAACTAGGGATAACAGGAACATACCTCAATATTGTAAAAGCAATCTATGCTAAGCCTCAGGCTAGCATTATTCTGAATGGAGAAAAACTGAAGGCATTCCCTCTAAAATCTGGAACAAGACAGGGATGCCCTCTCTCTCCACTTCTCTTCAACATAGTTCTCGAAACACTGGCCAGAGCAATTAGACAGACGAAAGAAATTAAAGGCATAAAAATAGGAAAAGAAGAAATTAAATTATCACTATTTGCAGATGATATGATTCTATATCTAGCAGACCCAAAAGGCTCTACAAAGAAACTATTAGAGCTAATAAATGAATTCAGCAAAGTGGCAGGATTTAAAATCAACACGCATAAATCAAAGGCATTCCTGTATATCAGCGACAAATCCTCTGAAATGGAAATGAGGACAACCACTCCATTCAAAATATCTTCAAAAAAAATAAAATACTTGGGAATCAACCTAACAAAAGAGGTGAAAGACTTATACAATGAAAACTACAGAACCCTAAAGAGAGAAATAGAAGAAGATCTTAGAAGATGGAAAAATATACCCTGTTCATGGATAGGCAGAACTAACATCATCAAAATGGCGATATTACCAAAAGTTCTCTATAGGTTTAATGCAATGCCAATCAAAATCCCAATGGCATTTCTTGTAGAAATAGAGAAAGCAATCATGAAATTCATATGGAAAAATAAAAGACCCAGAATAGCAAAAACAATGCTAAGCAAGAAGTGTGAATCAGGCGGTATAGCGATACCAGACTTCAAACTATACTACAGAGCAATAGTAACAAAAACAGCATGGTACTGGTACCAAAACAGGCGTGTGGACCAATGGTACAGAATAGAGGACACAGAAACCAATCCACAAAACTACAACTATCTTATATTTGATAAAGGGGCTAAAAGCATGCAATGGAGGAAGGATAGCATCTTCAACAAATGGTGCTGGGAAAACTGGAAATCCATATGCAACAAAATGAAACTGAATCCCTTTCTCTCGCCATGCACAAAAGTGAATTCAAAATGGATCAAGGAACTTGATATCAAATCAGAGACGCGCCGTCTGATAGAAGAAAAAGTTGGCTACGATCTACAGTCGGTGGGGTCGGGCTCCAAATTCCTCAATAGGACACCCATAGCACAAAAGTTAATAACTAGAATCAACAAATGGGACTTACTCAAACTAAGAAGTTTTTTCTCAGCAAAAGAAACAATAAGAGAGGTAAATAGGGAGCCTACATCCTGGGAACAAATCTTTACTCCTCACACTTCAGATAGAGCCCTAATATCCAGAGTATACAAAGAACTCAAAAAATTAGACAATAAGAGAACAAACAACCCAATCAACAAATGGGCCAAGGACCTGAACAGACACTTCACAGAGGAGGACATACAGTCAATCAACAAGTACATGAAAAAATGCTCAACATCTCTAGCTGTCAGAGAAATGCAAATCAAAACCACCCTAAGATACCATCTCACTCCAGTAAGATTGGCAGCCATTAGGAAGTCAAACAACAACAAGTGCTGGCGAGGATGTGGGGAAAAGGGTACACTTGTACATTGCTGGTGGGACTGCAGATTGGTGCAGCCAATTTGGAAAGCAGTATGGAGATTTCTTGGAAAGCTGGGAATGGAGCCACCATTTGACCCAGCTATTCCCCTTCTTGGTCTATTCCCTAAAGACCTAAAAAGAGCATGCTACAGGGACACTGCTACATCGATGTTCATAGCAGCACAGTTCACAATAGCAAGACTGTGGAACCAACCTAGATGCCCTTCAATAGACGAATGGATAAAAAAAATGTGGCATTTATACACAATGGAGTATTACTCTGCATTAAAAAATGACAAAATCATAGAATTTACAGGGAAATGGATGGCATTAGAGCAGATTATGCTAAGTGAAGCTAGCCAATCCCTAAAAAACAAATGCCAAATGTCTTCTTTGATATAAGGAAAGTAACTAAGAACAGAGTAGGGACGAAGAACAGGAGAAGAAGATTAACATTTAACAGGGATGAGAGGTGGGAGGGAAAGGGAGAGAGAAGGTAAATTGCACGGTAATGGAAGGAGACCCTCAGGGTTATACAGTGGAGGGGGTAGAGAGAGAGGAGGGGAGGGGAGGGGAGAGGTGGGGAGGGGGGAGGGTGGATGATGGGAAAGGCAGCGGAGCACAACAGACACTAGTATGGCAATTTGTAAATCAATGGATGTGTAACTGATGTGAATCTGCAATCTGTGTATGGGGTGAAGGTGGGAGTTCATAACCCACTAGAATCAAAGTGTGGAATATGATATGTCAAGAAATTTGTAATGTTTTGAACAACCCACAATAAAAAATTAAAAAAAAAAAAAAAAAAAAAAAAAAAAAAAAGAACAGGTGAAAATAAGTCTATGGTGATAGCAACCAGAGCTTTAATTTCCTACCAAGATGGAGAGTGACTAGAAGGGGTCATGAGGGAATTTTCTGTGGTGATAGAATTGTTCTAGATCTCAATTATCACACAAGTATATTCATTTGTCAAAACCCATCAAGCTGTACACTTAGATGTGGGCGTTTCATGGTATGTAAATTTTACATTACTAAAAAAAAAGTAAGACATTTTCCATGTGTCCTTAGAATTCATATTCTAATGAGACAACCAGTCATGACTAAGTGATATCCCTAAACTATATCTTGCTTGTGGAATTAAAAGAATAATATAAATATTTAAAAATCCACTTTAGTGAATAGATAGAAAATAATCTCTTAGAATATGTATCATTTGTATTGGGTCTAGAAGAAGTTTAAGAAGTTTGCCAGGTAAATGGAAGGAGGTCATCCTTTGCAGAGTGAATGGACGTGCATATGCACATGCTATTAATTGTAGTGTGTGAGCAAAAGATGGAAGGAGACATTTGGAAATAAATTGCACTACACTGAGGCATGATACAATAAAGTTTTTCAAGCAATTGAGTGTTCTTGGCAGTGAGTCTTTTGAGGGAGAAATTGATGCCAGGGTCCTGGGCCCTCAATGCCTTTTGAACAAAATTGCCCTACACATAGCTTCTGCTTGAGTGTGCTTTTTTGTTGTTCATACAGTAATGATCAGGATTGTTCACAGAATGACTCTGGAGGTTTTTTCCTGAGTTGCCTGGCACCTGAAATCTTACCATAGTGGTAACAGTGAACATGGCCTCACATCTAACATATGATATCATATGCTATTAGCATAGGAATGCAACTCCCCAAAGGTGATGTCCCCTACTTTATTTACAGGAATAATCTCATGCTTGCTTTTAGAAAGGTAGAGCATGGAGCAATTGCTTTCTAAAAATGGTGCTTTGAGCTAGCCTAAATATACCTCTGTACAGTTGACAGGACCTTGTTAGTGTTTTCCAGAAGCCCCTTTGTCCAAAGTACTTCCATACTTTCCACACTGGGACTGCCGATGTAGCTCAGTGTTAGAGCCTGTGCCTACCAGGCAAGAGGCCCTGAATTCCAGCCCCAGCATACACACACACACATACACACAATCAAACTTTCCCCACTGATAAGACCATCAGTGGACACCTAACTCATCACTAGCTGACAATTTATAGCCTGGAATAGAAAGTTGAGTTGCATCATTCAGGTTCTTCCCTTTGAGAAGATGAATCAGGGAGTACAAAAAGGTTTGGCCATTTAGCAACAGGAGCAGTTGCTAAAGAGCATCACTAAGCAGAGTAAGGGTTGCACAAGCCCAAGTCATATGAGAGAAGCTAGAGGTAATGGGAAAAAGGAGGTGGATGGATGTGCCTAGAGAAGCAGAAATATGTGCATGGTTCATCTACAAGGCCCTTACTTCTAAGACCTTGCTAGGTTGCCTCCCAGTTCAGGGATAGTACAAGATCTCCCATATTTGGGAAAAGGAGCTAGTGGAAAGTAAAAGGGGAGAAGATGAGCATTTTGAAAATCAAAAGGATAGCCAGCCAAATCATTCAAAAACATGCTCAGGATAAAGAGTGAGTTGAATTTAGTAATAAGAAACTCAACGGTGTCCTCAGTGAAAACTGATTTTGCTGGTGCTGAAAGTAAGAAGCCACGTTTCAAAGTGTACCCCATGTTCATGGAAATGGAAGGACTTGCTAGACTACTTGGCAGGTATTGTCAACTTAAGGAAAAAAGCTACTTATGAGAGCGAGGCTCAGAATTCTGAGTTTTAAGGAGGGTTAGACAATGCAAGATTTGCCCTAGACAGGGAAGGCACTTTTTTTCCCTCCGAAATAAGAACTAAGGAGGTAAGTAAGAATCATAATAGGTATGAGTCAGCGCATGTGTGGAGGGTGAGAAATTGAGGTAGTTCATATATTTCAGAAGAGTCAGTGGACTCTATAAAGATAAAAATAACAAGATGAGCTGTAAAATGTATTGGATAAGGAATGATTAACTCTGAAAATTTAGAAAATCTTGTAAATGCGTTAGGAGTTCATTTGTTATCCCATCATACAGATGCGGAAACCCAGCTTCAGTAATTTACTCTAAATCAAACAGAGATACCAACTCCAGGCCCGGCAGCTGAAACCCCAGGCTGCCTGGTTGAGGTCACCAGTGAGTAACCCGACAGCGTCCTGGTCCTGGCGGCCAAGACGGCTGGAACTACACTTCCCAGTGTGCCAGGCGGGGCGGGGCGCGGTGGGGAGGGCGCAGGCTCCTTCCCAGAAGCAAAAGCGGAAACAAAAGAGTCTCGCCGGCGTCCCCGCCCGCACACTCGCGCACACTCGCGCTCGGGCGCACACGGATCAGGCACCGGCTCCCGGAGCGAGCCAGCGAACGGCGAGCCGGGGACCCACAGGGCTGAGCCAGCCGAGCAGCCAGCGAGCGGAGCCCGCGACGACCCACTCCCCCGAGCCACGCAGCCGCCCCCCGCCGGCCGGTGTCCCCGCTGCCCTCCTTGACCCATGGCGCTGAAGCGGATTCAGAAAGTGAGTCCGGGGGCTGGGCCTGGGGCGGCGGAGCGGGCATTGACCCCTGCCCATGCTGACCTGGCCGTTGGTCCCAAGAGACGTGCCGGGAGGGTATGGGATGGGAGGATGGGCCGGGGCGGGGCAGGGGACCAGAGGTGCCTGCCCGGCCCGCGGGCACCGGACAGGTGAGGTGGGAATCGGGCAGGTCCCGGGTGGCCGGAGGTGCTTGGAGACTGGGGTCTCGCTGCGCGCTCGCGCCGGAGCTGCGCCCAGAGCCCCGGGGTGGAAATCCTCCTCGGTGTCCAGACCTTCCCGAAATCTGTGCTTCAGGGTCACACCTGGTTTTTTTTTTTTTTTTGCCCCACACCAAGCTAGTTTGGGCCCCTGTCGTGATGTATTTTCTCTACACTGTTTCTTAAGCTTGTCCCCTTTTATGTTCTCGCTTCTCCGGGCTCCCCAGGAGGGTTAGAAAGGTGCGGTGGGCCTGCAGCCTTTCTCCTCGGAGCTGTCGGGTTTGTTCTTTCTGTGCTCTGCGGTTGGCTCTTGCTCAGTTGCCGGAATGGGCTGGAAAAGCCCATTTGAGGCTGAGAAGCCAGGAGAAAGCTCCTGCCCCTTCTATTTTGGTGCCTCTGCTGCTGCCACTTCAGGTCACATAGCTGTAGTGAAAACATAGTTGCTGATACACAACAAGATGACCTCCTGGCTGTGATTCATGGTGAGTCAAGCCAAACAGGTTTTTTTTTCCTCATGATAAACTTATATATAAAGTTCAAGACACAACAGAAACAGATACAAATTGAATTGTTTTGATGCTTTGACACATGGCTATAGAATGAGGAAGAAATGTGTATATTCACTCAACAAATATTATCCATCCCAACTCATGTAAGCCATCGTCTTCTCTTAGTATTAATTATTGCAAACCATTTCAGATGTGAACATTTTCCAAAATTGGGATTTGGGCATTTCTTTTTCTTCATTTTTATTTATTATTAGGCTGTTGGTCTGTTTACAGACCCAAGTTTGAAGTTTTATAGTTAGAGTCCACAGTGTTTGGGAGCGTTTTGAGCAAGTTAAGCCAACAATGGACTGTGTGTTTTTGGAATTTATTTCAGAAGAAGTCAGTGCCTACCAAAAATTTTTATCAATTTTTCAACCACAAGTCAGTAAAATATAACAATGGTATGTGTTACAGCAGTTGTAGACATATATACATTGTATTCTGACTCACCACTGGTGGTATCTTTTGGTACAGAGGACAGCAACTTTTGAACTCAGCCAAATTTCTGTTTATTTTTGGTTCAAATAATTAATCTGTGGATTTTGGTTATTCTTTGTACCATTTAAGGGTCATTTCAACATAAAATATACAGTTAACAGCATTTATTTAATGTTAATATTTTGTCTTTTGAAGATAATGCAGTTACACTTTGTTTCATACAAATAATCCTAATTTTGAAGCCTTGTATACTTATTCATGATGATATAATGTTGGTTCATGATTGGATCAGACAACATACATTTTCCAAGGAAGTTTTCAAATTCCATTTCCTTCTTTCCTAGCTCATAGAATTTTTCACATGACTTTCCACACACAATAAATAGCTTTTAGATACTGTGGAATTTATCAATAGCAAGTGGATATTCAAAGAAATAAGGACACCATTTTTAAATACCATGCTTGCATATTGTTGTCAACCACCATGCTGATCCAGTGTGTTTGATTTATGTTATAATATGACATATGTCCACATATTTTAAGTAGTTATTGGTTATTATAACAACTGTATAATGTAAAAATGATGTAAAACCTATGACAGGTTGATATTTTGGAGAAGCAGTTGGGGATTATATAATACCACCTACATACATGTCCATTTTTTGCTTCTTTTTCCCATTATCAGGCAAATTGACTTAAATCACATTAATCACACATTCAGACCGTTGAGGTGTTTATTTTGATTGATTCTCCTTTTTTATCCTTCTTTCTGTACCTTCTTCATAAGTAGTTCTAGGTCAGATTTGCTCTCTGCCATGTGAACAGTTGTTATAAAGCCCTCTGATATCTTCAGTACACAGATTCTTATTTAACTCTTGTCTGTTCCATCAAGTAAAAATGTATATTAACTTTTCACCTTTCTTTTTAAGTGTATTTAAATAACACTGTCAGATAACGTTCAGGTCAATGGGTTGTAATTTTCCTGTATCTAAAGTGGCAGGCCTTGGAACTTGTAGAACTTCAGAGAAGTCTATAGTAGTGTGGAAGAAGTCTAGAAGCAGGGAAACAGCTTCTAGGGCAGTGTATCAGAATCACTTGTAGGATATTTTCAGATTGTTGCCACTGCTGTAAAGCAAGTGAGATTGAATCCCCTGGATGGGTTCGGTTGGAAAGAGGGTTGAGAATCATCAATGTTTTTGTCTGTTCTCCTCATTTGAAGTCCTTGAGTGGAGAAGTGCTTTGCCCAAGATTAATGTCATAAACGATAATGGCATATTTGAGAGTAAAGTTCACAATTTCACATTTCTTCACTACAAAAAGAATAAAATGGTTGGATTAAAATTGTATGTATACAGAAAGCATGTATGTATCAGTGCTTAAAATGTATTTCTATACTAGCATATGCTAAGTGATTTAATGCTTTAATTTAGACATCCTGTGCCAGTTTTGCATTTCAGCTCATAAATTTACACACCCATGCCCTATTTTTAGACACAGTGAAAGATGTTATTGCAGTCACCTAAATCACTAAAGGGAAAAAAAAAACTGAACAAAATATGAGGAAAGAAATCTAAAAACATGTCTAAAAAAGAGGAGCTTTTCAGCTGAGCATCTATTGTTTTTTAGAATTAATTTCTAAGGTTTTTTTTCTCAGTGCTATTTTCAATTGTTGATATGCTTTGTTTTGGGAATCATTTTTAAACTTACAAATATTACATCACAATACTGAATGCTTTGAAAACTGGAAGAAAAATGAAAATCATAATATAGTTATCTGCATCTTGGTTTTTTTCCATCAGATTTATTTTACTTTATAAAGAATTTGAGGTAATGATCATCCTACTAGCATGATATGATAAGCTTGTGCCTTTTTTGGTCTGTCTTTTGAAAAGTGAAACAAAAGACTTTTGTTTTACAAATATAGCAACACAGATAATTCCTTAGTGTATAGTACTGTCCCCAAAATGGAACAGTTCTTTTTTTATAATCTAATCTGAAGTACATATATGAACAGACATTAAAATACAATTTTACAAATATTTCGAGTTGCTGAATTTTTTATTTGCAGAGTTCTACATTAAACGGCTGGTGTCAGTCTAGGAAAACAGGATATTGAAAAAACCATCCTATGTTTTTTCTAGGGGAAGAAAGTCCAGTTTTTATACTGGCTCTGTGGCTCCTATCTTCACTTTCTTATCCATACAAGTATGCTGCTGCTGATGACCATCAGCATGTGTCTGGTGCTTACTCTGTGCATGACATTCTTCTAAGTTCTTGATGTATATTAATTGGTTTAATCTGTAGTAGTCCCAAGAGGTAGAAACAGTATTACCCTCATTTTGTAGATGATGAAACTGAGGCAGAGACATCGAGTAGTTTACTCAGGGTCACATATCTAATATGTGGCAATGTTGGAATTCTTAACCAGATAGTTGTCTCTAGAGAACACTTTAGTACATACAACGTATCCATATGGACTCATCTATATTTATTGTATTTAAAATGAAAAATGTGTAGAGTCACATGAGTTTATGGATGTAAGTACTTTGCAAACTATAATGTCAGAACAAGTGTAAAGTAGTGTTGCAGTTAAGACGTGGGCATATTTAATCATTCTCACAGATGTGTTGTTCACTGTGTTGATTGTGCCTTGTCATCTCTGATCCAGAGCGATTACTGGATCCTTTAACATTGTAAATGAGTAATATTACTTTGTTCATCATTGTAAATTTGTCTTCTCCAAAAGAACTTAGAAAAATTAGTTGTAGTTCATAACTGTTCTGTCAGAAGTATCATTTCATTGCAGAAATTTCATTTTGAGATAATTGTTTACAACTCGATATAATAGTTTGGTTCTTGTAGTGGTTTTGAATAGTAATCTGTTCAAATTACAATGTTAAATCCAAGAATCTAGTTCTTTCAGGAAAGGATTTAACTTAAAAGAAAAAAGGAACACAGTATTTTTACTTTTTATTAGATAAATGGTTTGTCTTGAGATGAGAAGGAGAAAGTGTTCTTTCTCTAATAAGCCATCATGTAAATTTTTCTGCTTTTAAATCTTTGTAATTAAGCTGTCTTTCTTTTGCCTTTGTATGTACTTTGATTTCTTCATCACAAAAAGTGTAGAAAGACGAGATAACATATTACAGCTTAAAAGTTCCGAGATTCCTCTGTGGAAATAAATAGCATAGAACTAAATAAGATTGTTTTAGGCCTATTTTAGGAGCCCAGGCACATGTGAAAACCAAAAGCATGTGGGTTTGCTCCTGGTAAAGCAGAGTAGCATCCTTACTGCCTAAGTTCCCTAAAATACAAACAGGAAACCTTCGGGCCCTTTATTTTCATTTAATGAATACTACTGATTAAAATAATATATTTAAAACTTAGTTAGCAGTCTGAGTTAATGGCTGTCTACTAACATGTTAGCCCCTCCCCCTTTATAAAATAGTGGATGAATTGATGTTGTAGTAGAGACAGGTATAAAGATAATTGTCCTCTCTCCTCTCCCTCAGGTGAAATGCAAGAATGAATTATAATAACTATATAATATGACCCAGATTTGCAACTTCGGGATTGGAAGGATTCTTAGGCTACCTTAAAACATGCATCTGCAGGAAGGCCAAGACAGGTTCTATTTCTGGACTGTCCTGATCTAAAGGGCTTCTGAGAAGCTGAGAGTTTTCTGCATTCAGTTTGGTTCTGGAATGGATCCATGAGGGTTCAGTTTCACACATTAGACAGCAGTAAGAGGCAGCATGTTCAGGAGTTGTCCTGAGTGTGGGGAGGAAGCTGCCATCTA